CCTGGGAAATAGAAGGGGAAGATATGGAGGCAGTGACAGATTTTACTTTCCTGGGCTCCATGATCACTGCAGATGGTGACAGCAGCCACGAAATTAAAAGATGCCTGCTTCTTGGGAAGAAAGCGATGACAAACCTAGACAGCATATTAAAAAACAGAGACATCACCTTGATGACAAAGGTCTGCATAGTCAAAGCTATCATTTTTCCAGTAGTGATGTACGGAAGTGAGAGCTGGACCATAAAGAAGGCTGACCGCCGAAGAATTTATGCTTTTGTGGTGCTGGAGGAGGCTCTTGAGAGTCCCCTGGACTGCAAGGAGAAGAAACCTATCCATTCTGAAGGAAATCAACTCTGAGTGCTCACTGGAAGGACAGATCCTGAAGCTGAGGCTCCAATACTTTGGCCATCTCATGAGAAGAGAAGCCTCCCTGGAAAAGACCCTGATGTTGGGAAAGTGTGAAGGCAAGAGGGGAAGGGGATGACAGAGGATGAGATGGTTGGACAGTGTCATCGAAGTGACCAACATGAATTTGACCCAACTCCGGGAGGCAGTGGAAAATAGGAGGGCCTGGGGTGCTCTTATCCATAGGGTCATGAAGAGTCGGAAACGATTAAATGACTAAACAACAACAACAACAACAATATAGAAACTTGAGCTCTGAGGAAAACAAGTTACATCATAGATTGATGCCTAGTAAACTACAATATGCATGATTAGATGATGACAGGCAGCACCTGGAACCCAGTTCTAGCTTATTTGCAGTTGGGAAAAAAATCAATATTATGGTTGCCAGCTGTATTTTTGACATCTGTTTAGTATACTACGCTTGTCTCTTGATAGTATTACAAAATGTCTTCTAATTTTTTCAAATTATGTAGACTAACATGGGTGGCCTACAAACATACAAAAACCTATGTCTAATTATGCCCAATTAAGTATCTGTCCAGTCTATCAAATCAGGGATACCTGATTTACTAGCAGCCTTCATCTGAGAACTAGCAAAGCCCAAAGAATCAACACGTGAGCTATCTACCATCAAGATAAAATGACAGAAGCAATTAGAAAGTAGTAAACAATTGGAGGAAACGATAAGTCACGTAACTTATTTAATTTGCATTACTCATGTTGTTTTTTATGTGTTACAAAAATGTAGATTTTAAACTGTAGTAAATCAGTAACCATCATAATAACAACATATGAGGTTACAGATTTAAGATTAAAGCAACAGCAATAACAGGATTATCATATACACAAACACACACTATGCTCAATTTGATTTTACTTTTTTGGGCACTAATGTTTCATGTGGCAGGCCATAATGGTCCATGATAACTAATGTGACAAAGCAATTTCGTGCTCCAAAGATATTGGTTGAAATCCTGTTCCTGAGGTCAGTAGGTCACAACTAGTGTAGGCCCATAGAATCAGTGGGGATTTGGCGAGTCAGCTCCATTGTTTCAATGGCTGACTCTTATTTCCAACTTACTGTGCTCAGCAACAAGATTTCAGCTAGTGAGTGCTAATTAAAATGACCTCTACAACTGATGAAAACTTAGAGGCAACAGTAGCTCAATACCTTTGTTAATGACTCAGTGCTGTGAAGTCAGTTCTGACTTATGGCCATCCTTTTCAGGACGTTTTAGGGAAACAGTACTCAGAAGTGATTTACCATTTCCTTCTGGGTGTGCCCTGAGACTGCACAGCTTGCCCATGACCACTCCAGCTGAATGTATCCCTGGGAGACTGTGGGGAATAAAACTCCTAACCTCTGGTTCCACAGCCAGTTACCCAGCTCGCTGAGCTAGCCAGCCACCCACACCTTTATTTGTTGTTGTTTAGTCGTTCAGTCGTGTCCGACTCTTCATGACCCCATGGACCAGAGCACGCTAGGCCTTCCTGTCTTTCACTGCCTCCCAGAATTTGGTCAAATTCATGTTGGTAGCATCAATGACACTGTCCAACCATCTTGTCCTCTGTCGTCCCCTTCTCCTCTTGCCTTCACACCTTCCCAACATCAGTGTCTTTTCCAGGGAGACTTCTCTTCTCATGAGATGGCCAAAGTATTGGAGCCTCAATCTGTCCTTCCAGTGAGCACTCAGGTTTGATTTCCTTTATACTAAAAGTCCCAATATAGAGCCTCCACTTGAGTTCCACAAGGGTTTTTTTTTAAAAAACAAGATTGCTGTAAAACAAACACAGTAAAGAAGGGGTGGGAAAGCGTGTCTCACAGAGGCATAATAGAGGCTCCAGTGCAACAGGTGGCAGTTCTAAGATGGTGACTCAGACATGCAACCTGATCCTATTCAAGTTGACTTAGAAGTGAATCCCACTGACTTCAGTTACTCCCAAGGCAAATCAAACAGACCTGATACTGAAACAGAACCTTCAGACTCATAAAGCATAATATGTTAATAAATAAGATTTGATTGTTCTTATTTATACATCTTTGCATTTGATTTGCTGCCTTCCATTTTACTTCCTCCCACTCTTTTCCCTAATAAATTTTTAAATATCCATTGATAGTTGGCTGGTTTTTCACAGAAGTGATTTCTGTGAAATCTATAGTTTTTAAAAAAATAAATCTTCCCCATGTGGTAGACTGCATAGATTTTAAGCTTGTACACAGCGTTCTGGTGGTATTTGGCAGTGTTCGGTTATTTTTTTTTCTTTCCTCTAGACCAGAGCGTGGAAGTTTTTGGTAATGAGGATATTAACTATTATGTTATTATCTTAATGTATTTTATTTTAGTTACTTTTATATTTTGTTTTAGATTGCTATTGATTATTTTTGTTTT